CTAACTAAATAGTGTAATTTTTTGGCGAAGGTGTGTCAATTAACACCTATTTAAATACATGTGGCTCCATTACTGCATTTTACCCTATGCAATCCAACAAAATAGCCTGTTTGGTTCGAGCTCCGGAAATAAAGTCATTTTTGGCAAGGAGTGTTTTATCTTCTATAGTGAAATTTTTCAACGCGAATTTAATTTAGTAAGTTCTTGGGTATTGAATATCGAATGAAAAATTAAAAAAAGAAAAGAGTAAGTAATCCTAATTTCAGTATTTGGTTGACAACATAAAAAGTAATTCATGAAATAACCAATATAGCATTTCGTTGATGGTATTTAATATTGGAAAAATTAACTGTATGGCCGCTCTAAAAAAAAATGTATATTTTTGTGTGTGTATATATATATATATATGTGTGTGTGTACATTTTGTATATTATAAATAAAAATTATATAAATTTTATACACTTATTCGGCTAATGAATGTAAATAGTTTCTGGCGCGGGCTAAAATTGATAATACCCCTTAAATGTTTAGTTGTATTAAGATATAAGAAAATATATGAAGCAGTATTCTATTCGTGATAGAAAGTGAAATACGAATTATTAGCAATGCGAGATGAACTATTTGAAGGAAAAATACCTTTCTAAAGTAAGTAATTCTTGTACAATAATCTCTTCATATTACTCCCTTTGTCCGTGCTTTATAATCCTGCATAATTAGTGAATGAACCAAAAGAAAAATGAATATATAACATTTTTATTCTAAATAAATCTTTTCACCTAACCTTTATTTATTAAAATTAATATATTCTCAATTGTCATAATCTCTAGCTTTTAATGTTAAACTATTCGTTTTGCTGCAAAGGCCACTTCTAACAAGCTTTTTCCCTGATTTGACCATATCCTTGCTCGAAAAAAAAAGGGTCAAAAATGTAAGCTGAGAAATATAATAAGAGATGCCTCTTTGAAGACATTTGATTTAAAAAGGAGAAATACCACAAAAGCTCAACAGATCACTGTCTAAAATATTCATAGTTCGAGCAATTATTGTACGAAATCGAATTCTAGTTGTGTTCAATGGCATAGGCAGAAATCTCGTCAAGAGTTTAACTTTTAAATTATAAAAAGACTAGTTATTTCTTTTTACATAAACTTTAAGTTTTAACATTTATTTATTAGGATTTTTTTAGATTGAAAAAAGTCAAATAAACCACATATGAGCATATAAAAATGTTTAGATATGGATTCAAACCCTTGAACAACACTTCATTTCGTTGTATTAAGAGTATTTAAAATATAATATATAGTCATATGAAGTAATATTTGACCTACATATACAGTATAATTATTTGGCGAAGAGTGTTCGCTTGACCACCCTTGGCATAGTGTGGCTACGCCACTGGTTGTGTCATGGCCCATCCTATGCCTCAATAATTATTAAGAAAAATTCATCTAAAAATTTATGCCTCAAATTCAAACAGGTTGGAGTCGATTATATGAATCTCTTCCTATCATGTTACTTTGAAGATTCATCATGAAGTTTTATTTTTGGTTACTAGCCTACCAAACTTTTTCTATAGTCGAACCTGGAACCGACAACGTGAGCAAACTCAGATATGCACAACTAATTCTTTAGTCAAAAAAGGGAAAGAAAAAGAAAATAAAGGAAAACACCAAAAGATAAACGGATAAGAAAAGATGAGATAGTTAGCACAAGTTAGAGGGATTGCTGATTCACACACTTGAGATAATGCATATGTTGGTCAGAAGGCATCTGGTTCATCATATAGTAATAAAATATCCTTTATATCAGGAAATTATGTCCTCACAAACTTTACCTCCTACTTAAACTCTTATTGTTTGGTTGAAAATAGATTAGGAGCACTCCAATCTAGATGAGGCAGATCACTCTTTCTTCACATTGAAAGCCACACAATAATAAGTGCCTAAAAACAGGCAGCAAAACATAAAGCAACTTAAATTTGAGAAACAAGTCAATGGTTTAACCACTCAAGAATACGATCGGATGGATAGAATCTCTTCACCCTTAATCAGGATTTCGGTTTCAAGCCCTAGGAATAAACAAATCCAGGTAGGAAACGCTTCCTCCTTTAATAGGTCTTACGCAGCACAAATCCAAATTAATCGTGGCCCCAATACGAATAGCAGACAACGAGTAAAAACCCAAAAAGAAAATCTATGGTTTAAACTATTGAACACAGATGGCTGAAATGGTAAAATGCATCATGACAAAACAAGATGAATTCAGAAATAACTCAAATATCACACCATGAGTTATTCTTTCATTGAAAAGAATTGGCAGCACATATACTACTAGAATGCACTAGCCTTGCAAAACTGCTGGCTGCTTTTTCTCACTTCCCTGAAGCAGCCTCAAACAGATTAAAGTTATTGTTCACAATACCAGAAATAAACAATAATCCGTACTTACACAATGTAGTAAAAATTACTATTGTGGTCAAACAATGCAAAGTATACACTCAATTGCTTCCTAACAAACTTTGCAGCTTCTTCCTCGCCTCTTCGGACAAACTGCAACACCTGAATCTTGGCCTTTGGGATGGAACTGAAGCTTGATGATCAGGATTAGTAAAGCACACAACAATTGCAGTGAGGTTGTCATCTACGTCCCTACATAAAGCGTGATTCACAAGTTCTTTAGCAGACTCTTGCGGGTCATTATGTAGCCTAAGCTCACGGCGAACAACATTCACTGCTTCTTGGTTCGACATCACATCCCAAATGCCATCGCAACCAATTATCATGAACTCATCATCTTCAGTCAACAACATCTGCTTGACTTCTGGTTCTGCAGTAAGAGGAGATGCAGATCCGAACGGAAGCTTCATATACCAATCTCCAAGAGCACGGGTAACTGCAAGATCACCATTTAGGAAGCCATATTCAATAATACCGCCTAAGTTCTCAACTCTTTGTCGCTCCACCAGAGAAGTAGGCCTGTGATCTTGAGACAACTGAACTGCAACGCCTTTCCTACAAAGGACAGCACGACAATCACCGGCATTAGCAACAACCAGATGTCTTCCCAAAACCAGGGCAGTTATTGCTGTTGTTCCACAAGCGGCATTAACACTACATTCATCCGCCAAGGCAAGATCAGCTTTTAAGAACGCTCTACAGTGAGAACTCTCCAATTCTTCCATGAATTCCTGATCAACAACAGATGCTTGCGGCAAATCAGCATCTTCAAAGAAAAATCTCATTGAGTTAGTCCTGACATAAGCAGCTGCATCAGAACCCCCATGACCATCGAAAACAGCATAGAACGAGCCCGGAAGAGGCCAATTATACAGAGAACCCAACTGAGCTGAAAGATCGTCAACACGAATGTGTTCATCTTCATTGGATCTACGAGGTCCAATATCAGTGTAGCTACCCGAACGAATAGATGGGAGAAATTTGCTTCTCGCTGAATCGATGATTGTTGCCGGAGTACTAGTTGAGCATCTCACACCCTGATAATTGCAAAATATAAAAGGTCAGAACATTGCATTTCAATCACACTATAACCACATAGGAGTAACAATATCAACAAGCACGACAAAAATCAAAAACTCATTCGAGCACAGCATAGCCAAATAACTCAAAACCATAAACTTCAACGAAATTCCCATTCAGAAAGTACCCACAAAAAAAAGGTTAATCATCTGGAGAGACCTAATAAAATTTAAGCAAGTTCATCCAATTCCTTTGGTGAATAGAAAAATCAATCAACTACACCTTAATTCCAAACAAGTTCCGATCAGGTATATGAGACCTCTCAAAGAATTCATCATAGTTACACAACTTTTAGAATGACCGTCAACTTAAATAAAAATTCAGTTTAATTCAATTTCTTTAGGTTATAGAAAAATCAACCAACTACACCTCAATTCCAAACTAGTCCCAGTCAGCTATATGAGACTTCTCAAAAGTACTCATCATAGTTACACAATTTCAGAATTAAAACCAACCCAAAAAGCAAAATTAAGCTTCTTTCTTTTTCTCCCTTTTCCATAGCAATAATATCTCTATCAGATTAACTATTTAACTTCGAACCCTAAATAAATAATACATCAGAACCTCTATGCAGCTACAAGAATATCTATACTTCTAACCTATCAATAACTAATGATCACACAAACAAGGTCACTAATGATCATGCTAAGGCAAAAATTATTTATTACATGTTGGTGGCGAAAGCAGGATTTTCACTAAGGGGATTCAGAAAACAAAAAGGTGAACATACAAAGAAGCTAAGGGGATTCAATATGGAATATCTATACATGAAAAAAAAATTACACAGTATAATAGCGGCGGAAGGGGGATCGCCTGAACCCCTTCCGCCCACCTAGTTCCGCCACTGGCGGGAGGTAGCAGATACCTAATAATTAGTCAAAAACTAGCTCAAACACCGCCGTTATTACAATAAAATAGACAAAACAAAGGATAATAGAGGAACATAAAGAG